TTCAATGTGAGATCTAAAAACATCTCTCTCTGTTGCATCTTTCATGCCACGATGATCTATATGGAGGGGCTATATTGTTGATGCATTCCTCTTGAGAAAGTCTGTCCCTAATATGTAAAGAAAAGATTGATTGGCTAATCGCATTCATTCATAAAATTTAATTCAAATATTAAGACCAATCATAAACTTATCCATCCAGGTGCGGAGCCTGGAGGGACAAAAAAATTCTACTGGATTAATACATAAAAAAAAAAAAATCCAAAGGAAGAAAAAGTTTACATTAAAAGTTAAATGTGCTAAAGCAAAGAACTGTTCCTCTCCCTACGCACCTATATCCACCAATAAATTAGTGTATCATGTCACCGGTGCTTAGCTGCCAAGTATTGTTGCTTAATTTATACTAAGCAAAAGTGACTTGACAAATTAATTTATTGATAAATTATTTAATTATTAAAACCTATCATGGACTTATTCATCAATTAATTGATGTGTTACTTAGCATAAACTAAGCAACAATGCTTAATCGATCCTTTCTCTAGAAAGGCTGGGCGAGGAGGAAATACTTTTTTTTTTCTCGTGTAAATTGTAGAGTAGTTTAGGAGTTGGTTTAAAGGGTTTGGATAATCAGTTTAGGTTTAGGCATAAAAAAGTTAAGACTAAAGTGATTTAAACAAAATTAGAATATTTTTTAAAATAACTAACAACTGAAGTGGGCGGGCAAATCCTGTCCTAAAACCATCCAGCCTCCCCCCATCGAGGCGAGACATCTACGAGTATGAAATTTTACGGTTCAAATTATAGATATCAAGGTCTGAGTCAAATGATAATAGCGAAATTTTATCAGATCAATAACTTGGATTCAAGTCTGAATGGGGGAAGGGATGAAATTAATGATACAAAATAATAATAAAGTACTACATATAAAATTTGATTTTTTTAAAGTTAAAATTCGAATTACTACCATATGAAAAATTTTCTAATATAAATTCAAATTTTAACTACTTTGCCAAATCAACCAAGAGCTACAATTTAGAGTCTAGGAAAATTATATAGAGTGACTTGAGTTCTGCAGTACTTGGGCTAGCTCAAAAAATTCTGGTTTTTGCAGCCAAACTTGAACTGGATTCTACATTTCTAGTGATCAAACTACCATAAAAGAGGCCATTTTAAATAAAATCCTAACCCAAATAATATCTCAAACACCAAACTTTTGTACAACACAAAGTCACTATCAATCATATTTGGTGTACATCATAATCTACACCTTTATTTACATCATGCCACATGTCTAACAGTTTAAAAAAAAAAAACGGTTTTTCCATTAACTTATTTCTTGACAACAAATCAAGTGTCAATATGATTGTACACAATTAATGTACAAATGACACAATCTAAGTTACTATTTTGCCCTTTGAAAAATAAAAAAATGCTACCTAAAAGTTGTCAAAAATTGCAATACTTCTTGTAAAGATTATGCTAATGTTTATCAATTTAGTCCCTAAATTCTTAGAATTTGCAAACTACCCAAAGAATTTTCTTAGCAAGTAATTGTCCTACTTCACATTGTTTGCACTCAATATAACATAAAAAGTAATGTCATTCATAGTCAACGACTTCTATAATCATCCTTACGTGACAACTTATAATTTGACGTAACAAAATTACAAGAAATTAATGTTCCAAATAACAAGCTAGAGCATAAAATGACTATTGCAATTGCTGACTATGAATAGTATTACTATAACGTAAATAGGTGACATGCAAAACATATCATAATTCAGGCATAGAAAAGCAGGGATTTACAAATAACATGAAAGAGTATGATGTCTCTTAGAAGAAAGACGCGGCGTATAGAGGAAGGAGAAAGCATAATAGATGAGGATTTTAGAAATATTTCCTATTGTATTTTGATGTACAAAAATATATAGCCTAGCCTTCGCATATATGCAAATGGGAAAAGGAATCAGATCGCAGATCTCAACTCTTATGAATAAAAAGCTTACTAGCCCATCAATTGTTTGATAAAATAAAAGGATGAAACGCTATTAAATTAAGAGAAGAGTAGATAGATATGTCAACTAATTCGATCTAAACAAAACCCTATCAATTCATCATCAAAACATTGATTTCACAACTTGCTTTTCGGGCAATTCCCTAGAGGCCACACGAGATAACAGTAAAATAGCACTACCTACATTTTCAGAAAAACCATGGAGAAAGGACACCACAATGGGAAAAGTTGTAAAAATAAAAAACAGGAAAAAGTACATCTTATCAACTGCAGAGTAAAGCACCGTTCTCCGAATCAAGTAATTTTACCCATCCATTCAAAGCCAAGTATAATCCTGAACTCACTTTCATGGCAAACGAACAATAAAGAAACAAAGAAAAGCACAAAACAAGACAAGATTCGGAAACTGCAAGAACTTGAGATATATATTCATCATTTGCAGTTTTACACACACAAGATAACCCATTTATAAAACAGAACCGAACAACATTGTTCACAAGGGAGTAGATCAGAAAAAAGATATTTATGAGGCAACTTAGTGGATAGGAGCTTTTGGGGGGCTTTCAAGTTTCACCATTACATTTCAGCACAAATTTTAGAAGTCAACAAGACCTGTATACATCTTTATACTAAAAATAGGTTCCTTCGGGAGGCTGAACCAGCTTAAGGTTGTGTGGAGCCGCCATCTCTTTCTTCAGCTGTGTCAGTATGTTTTCCATTGTGTACTCTCGTTGCCAATTTGCTAAAAGTGGAAACTTCTTTGATTCCACCTATACCAATTAAGAATCGGAAACGTCATTTCATTTTCTATATGCTTCTTCAGAACAAGGCACTAAAACACTCTAAATTTGTAAGCCACGTGATGGAAACTCACCATGACAGGCACACAACTTAACATGATTAGAGGTTTTATCTGTACATTTACTTGAGCCTTGAATGATGTGATCATCGAGAGAGATGCCATCATTGTCAAAACAATTTGTGGGTAGGTCACGTTCGGTGCAAGAGAAAACTTACCCCTAGGAATATAATCCATCATAAGGAAGATAAATACTATATCTAGTTGCAAAGTTCATTCCCACACTACAATATACATCGCCTACTCCTATTTATTATCCTATAAGTTAACAATCTTCAAGAATTTATGCTAAAGAACATCTTCAGTAACCCATGTCATTCTAATAGGTTAATAGGTTATGAAGTCAAAATTGAAAATTTTCCACAGTTCTTCACATCAACTATATTAGGAGTTTATTCATGCATAATTTTCAATTTTCATTGGTTTTGCAGGGTCGAGGGTTTAGTTCATTTATGATTATTTATATGGTAGTTGATTAACTATAAAAATGAAAGGTAAAATGTGAATCAATGGGTGAAGCATTTCTTTTGCATGGACTAGAACTATAAATTTGAGGATGCATGGCATTTCATTTTTACAGCAGGTAATATATTCTAAATGAGATTAAGAAACAGTCGTTAATTCAAGTATATGAATACATTACAATTAATATATTTTTTTTTTGATAGGTAATCACGCAATTTTATAAATAAAATCAAAATAGAATACACAAGGAGTGCATTATCAGTTTAAACAAGATAGAAACGATAAAAAAATTCGGCGACCCTTCTATCGGACTAATGGTTGCAGCCTTAAACCTCCTATACCAATTAAGAATCGGAAACATCATTTCATTTTCTATATGCTTCTTCAGAACAAGGCACTAAAACACTCTAAATTTGTAAGCCACGTGATGGAAACTCACCATGACAGGCACACAACTTAACATGATTAGAGGTTTTATCTGAACATTTACTTGAGCCTTGAATGATGTGATCATCGAGAGAGATGCCATCATTGTCAAAACAATTTGTGGGTAGGTCACGTTCGGTGCAAGAGAAAACTTACCCCTACGAATATAATCCATCCTAAGGAAGATAAATACTATATCTAGTTGCAAAGTTCATTCCCACACTACAATATACATCACCTACTCCTATTTATTATCCTATAAGTTAACAATCTTCAAGAATTTATGCTAAAGAACATCTTCAGTAACCCATGTCATTCTAATAGGTTAATAGGTTATGAAGTCGAAATTGAAAATTTTACACAGTTCTTCACATCAACTATATTAGGAGTTTATTCATGCATAATTTTAATTTTCATTGGTTTTGCAGGGTCGAGGGTTTAGTTCATTTATGATTATTTATATGGTAGTTGATTAACTATAAAAATGAAAAGATAAAATGTGAATCAATGGGTGAAGCACTTCTTTTGCATGGACTAGAACTATAAATTTGAGGATGCATGGCATTTCATTTTTACAGCAGGTAATATATCCTAAATGAGATTAAGAAACAGTCGTTAATTCAAGTATATGAATACATTACAATTAATATATTTAATAATCAACAAATCTAAATTTATAAAGAAACTGATTATAAGAGTCAGCTATATGTATATTCATATCATAGAAAATGTTAGTTTGATGGTTGATGGAAATCTATAAAACGTTACACGTTTTACTTGCATAAAGAAGACACTTAACCAAAGTTATGTTTTCTATTTTATAATTATTTTAATTGTTGGATACTAAGCCCTTGTTTGAGCCCCATTTAGGGGAAAAAATATATATTGGAATAGTGACTTTTTGGAGAATGTGTGGTTAAAAGATGAGATATTTTTCTATTTATGTATAAAATTATTTTATTGAAAAATGTATGATTGAAAAATGAGGGAAAATGAATTTTTGAAACAATGGGGATCAAACAAGGGCTAAATAATTCACAATTAATAAGAAATGTTAATGGTCTGAATATGATCTGAATATGAATTATACAATTCGTATTATCAAGACTTCTTTTGTATCAACACACTCAGTTGTAAATATTGATTTCCTAAATTTAACTCTTTACCACAAAGATAAAAAAAATGGGGAAAAAATCAAGAATTTCTTATAACCAATCGAATTTTAGAATATTTTCAGAAAAAAATATATGAATTAAAAACAAAAAATAATGGATTTTAATCCAAAATAAAAATCTTTATTGAAGTCAAAGGAGCCCAATGCCCGCAGGCCAACAACCTTTTGACGAAAGGAGAAGGAAAATAACCAGATAGAAAACCTGCCACATACACATTAATACTAAATCATACAGTAGTCTGTACAAACTAAGATATTTAACTTTGCGGGCATGAGCAACACATTGTTCTATTTTACCACATACAAGAATGCAGCAATAAGTAATAACAACTTATAAACAAGATATTACATGCCCAACTTATACAGGATAATTGTTTCATACCACTCCAGTTTCATGGTTGATGCAAGTCAAGTTAATCCGAGAATGGAAACGAACACTTGGTGGCTTCTCTGGATAATCTTTGTCACAGAATAACTTCAACTGATATATTCGTCCTTCATGTACAGACTGAAAGGAATAATTATAGTGCACTTAAGCCATTTCATCGAGGAAGAATTATTGTCAAAGACGAATAAACAAAATTGTAAAAGAATAACGGAATGGTACCTGCAGTACATTAATAAATAATGCAATAATACACAATACATGATAAGAATTCAATTGTGCACCAAAACTACATTCCACGCTCTAATGACCAGAGTAGAAGGGCAATATGAGTATTTAAACTTCGTATAGGATAATAATGTCATGCCAGCAGAACCCAATAAATTTTAAAACAATAGCGCCATGGAGAAACGTGCAAGACTCCTACAACAGCATTAGTATTAGCATTACAAAAAGGCATGCGTCTGTCTGACAGATGATTCAGCTTGGCTAAAACTATTGCCATTGTCTGATAGAACCAATCACATTCAGTAGAATCTGCAGTGACACAAACAGTCACAATAATATTTGCCCATCAGAGTTAACTATTGTTCCTAGACTGCCAAATAGATAGAACTGGTCATAATAAAAACTTCTTCAAGAAACTTTGCCATGTTCATAATACTATTTGTTATTCACTAAAAGAAAGATTATTTGAGCAAAATCTGAACACATAGTGAAAACGAAAAATGTAATGTGGCTTAAAGAGTACAGGAACCAAAGAGTGGAATACTAAATTTCTATGTTTATAATATACTAGTCATGAATTTCATCTTTCATTCCCAGGCTAAAAGCCTCAGTAGGAAATAACAAGATAGGGATACTAGTTCAAATAAAATACTAATCATAATCTCCAAATAATATATACCATCGATGCTTCAAAGGAGTTAGCACTGAACACAAACAAGTAAAACCGAGTAGAAAAGATGCTCACGTTATGAGGACCTATTATGGTGCCAGTCCAGGATCGCATGTAAAGGTCGTCTCCATCATCCATTCCATAACTTACTGTACCATCTCCAATCCCCTTTTCTCCATGTTCAAGCTCCTCTAGCAATCGGAAATTCCGAGGGACTGCAAGGATGCCAAAAAGCTTGAGAATGCTCAAGGTTTTTATCTTTTATAGATATCAAGCTTTAATGTCCTACAAAATGTCAAAAAATTGCAACCAGAGAAAGGTCACTCTATACTTCATCTGTCAGTCAGATGACTCAAATCATAGTGTGATAGTTTTCCGGTACAAAGGAACAGAACTCAAAAGATGCATGAAAACAAAAAATAAATTATCTGGATATCACTGAAAAAATTTTTTTGAACAATCATAGTACTAAGCCCCAAGTTTGATGGGGATTAAAATCAGATTTTTAATAAATTTTGTTAAGAATTGATGAAATGTGTGGTTAACATTAATTGCTGACTTCGACCTAATTGAAATCTGAATTTTAATTTCTACAAAACAGGGGCTAAGTACATTCTCTAAAGTCTACATATACATTTGACAATCCATATTGAAGTCTGGTCCAATATATAAAGAAGATAGGAGCATAGATATAATGCCTGGGGGGAGGGAGGGAGGGAGAGAGAGAGAGAGAAGATATAAAAACAAAATATCAAGGCGTCCTCTATACACTTACAAATTGGAACGTAGAAAAAAAAATCTCAATGGAGTACTCGCACCTTCTCACATAAGATGCCATAGTTTTAACAAGCATAAGGTTTAAGAGGAGTTTCAATTACTAATACTTTTCTCAGTTTTCCCCCACCCCTTTTCTAGGTGCATGACACGAGGTGAAACTTTAGATCTCAAGTCTCAACCAGATACGATAATGAACTTTAATTTAAGATAATAATATCATTTATAGAAAGGTAGTTTGAGAAAGAACGACTTGAGAACGATACCATTTAACAAAGTGCATATTATTTTGAAACACCTCACAAAGGAAAGGAGGATACTCATTTTATAAAGAAAATAAAACATTTTGAAGATAAAATGTCTTCATACACTTTATACTCACAAACAATATGACATTTTGAAGAAATTAACTAAGGGCAGGTCCTTGGTTAAGATTAGGTATAAACATTTAGATAAGGCTTTGTTTGTTGGTGGTGTTGCTTAAATACACCATCAAATTATATTCCCAAGCACACTCAGTTAGAAATCTAAAATCAAAGCTATGCACACAGAAGATATCAAACATGCATTTTCCCAACCAAAAGAGAAAAGGGAAGGTACACAAAATAAATTCTTTGATGTGTCAATATTAACTGCAAATCGCCTTGCCAAAGAAAACTGGGGAAAATTCACAGAACTAAAAGCATGTCTGGAAAGTATTTATAAAAGGTCTAAATTATAGATAGATAGAAATGAGTGATAAATAAGTGGGTACTACTTCTAAGTCACTCAAAATGTGCGGATAAAAGAAGGAAACATGGGCTAAGAAATGAGCGAATGAATATCAGACACCACAAAGTTAAATTAAATTTGAAGGCACTCCATTTGTCAAGCAGTAGAACAGCCAGGAAGCAAATGCAAGTTGATTATCAAAATATATTCAGCAACAACACTGCTTAGTTTAAAACGTTTTATTTTTATCTAGTAGTGCTTAATTGAAGTCGTATACTGACCAGATCACCTCTTTAAATCAAAATTCACCAAGCTAACTTTCCCAGATCATTTTGAAAATGAATCAAATATTATGCACCCAAAATCCTAAATAATAGGAGTACTGGTGTCAAAGAAGCACACAAAAATATCTCCTCCATTCGTCCAATCCAAGTTGACAATGAAATTATTTATCTTAAACCATAACTAGATAATTACAAAAACTTGATAGTGATACTACGTGAACACATCAAAAACTTAAAAGAGCCTCAGCTAACAAGTAAATTCCTTACAATCGAAATTCCCCCAAAATTCAACACATAAAATAGTACAGATTCTTCAGCAAGAACCCAAATTAAAATCCGATTAAAATGTACAAAACTTCTCCTTTTTAAAGATCCACAGTCAATGCATAATAATCATCATTCCCTCAAACTAAACAAGCAATAAAACCCCCAAAGGAAAACGGCCAATAGGCATATTAACAGTAAGAATACATGAAAAATGAAGGAAAAAGATTCAAAAAATGAAATACAATTTTTTTAGCCAGAGAGAAGAATACGGACCCACGATACTGGATCCTCCTGAACCCATGATGTAGATATGTAAATTAGATATTAAGCAGAAAAACGATTGATCAATAGATACAGATTTTTTGTTAAATGGAGTCGATTGAATCTATAGAAGAGAAACGCAATGTTAAGGTCATGCAAAGACGAAGAGGAATAAAGTGCAAACAATAGTGAGGTTCGGCAAGAAGTATAACCTAAGAAAAGGAAAAGCAGAAACGACGTTAGTATTGAAAATTTAATGATGATAATTATTTGTGTAGTTTAATAATAATAATCTATGTTCCCCACTGTAATTGGGCATGTAAATCGAGTTGTATCAACTTATAAACAGTCAATTGCATTTTTAATTACAATGTGCTTTCTAATTCATTACTAAACAATTTTAAAGACGTCATCCAACGTCCCCAAAAAATTGTGTTATTTTTCTTTTTTTGACATGTAAATCAAGTTGTATCGACTTATAAATAGTCATTTGTATTTTTAATTAAGTTGTGCTTTCCGATTCATCACGAGACAACTTCAAAAGCATGTCATCAGACATCCTCAAAAATTTGTGCTATTTTTCTTTTTGTATCTTTGAAGTTCAACGAGGAAAAGAGAACCACGACAAAATGACCTTAATAAGCCTACTTCGGATAGCTATATTTAAATTGCCTTTTCTACCATGTTATTTACCACTTTGAAGAAGACATTATGAACTCTTCAAAACAGTATCTTAAAATTATATTTAGGACGTTGAGATACGTGTTGAACTTAGGTCACAAAAGGTAATGATAATTTGGAAAACCTTATGTTGACATTATGGAGTATTATATCTTGCATCTTGGTGGATAGTTTCCATTTTGATTAAAGTATATATTGTGAAGTATGCCGTGATTACTTCAAAATGACATCAATACCCAAAAGATACAAACTTTAAAATTATGAAAAAAAAAAATTACGTCAACACTACCTCAAGGCTCGACACTTGCGTGATTTTTTTTCTTCTTAATTTTGCACATCATTTGTTAATAACTGAACTATCAAGTATCGACACTTGCAACCTTTTTCTAAAAACTCCGTCTTGAGCTAAACACGTGAGAAACGTGTTATGACTCGTCACTGGTACTGCCACGTGGCTAACCTGCTGTAGCTATTGACCATCCCAACTGAAGCATCAGCCATAGAAGACGAGGCCTTGGGCAAATTCCGATGCCCATTACTCATTTCAAGGTTGGCATGTCGAAGCAGATCAAGTCCGAGGCTCTATTCCGGGTAGTGATGGCCCATGTGCAAAGGTCTTGAATTTATTGTGGAATGATTGATGTGACCTTTGTAAAAGTATCCATGTCTTGTTTTGTCAATAGGAATAAGAGCATTAAATGTGTTGTAAGCTAGGAATGTCAAAAGGATGGCTAGAATTAGATGTTTCGACCGAGGAGATAGGCCACATATAATTTCATCCAAAGGTCACCATTCCTATTTGTAACACTATAAATACCACCTCCATGTAACCATTGAAGGATGATGCAACTCTTAATACTAAAGAACGACTTATTTTCTCATGCACATTGAGTTTCGATCTTTTATTGTGATTGGTTATTATTGTACAATCGTACCCTGTTTATTTCGTTGGAACCCTAACGGAAATGTCTTATGTCGTTGAGTTTTCTCCCACGTCAAATTTAGGAGTGATCTCGATCGTTGATATGTTATTACGTGTCGGAATTAGCTTGCATACGTACCGATGGGTCCAACATCTATTGGCAGTATATTTTGAAGTCAACAGATTGTCGCCATACGTGAGAAACCACACTATAACTCCAAGAAATCCCGTGGAAAAAGCTTTATGAGAAAATAATTTGGGCATCCCCCTTGAAAAATGATTTGTTCTCGAAAAAAGAACAAGAGGAAGCCCCAGAAGTTTGATATTTTGGTTTGGAGAAAGATGAGTTCAGATGGTGAGGTTCCTCCCAAGAGGATAAGGGAGGGCAATGATGAAGTCCCCCAGTGACTGCCCAACGGGGCGATTCCGACCTCACCACCATCACAGGTGTGGTGGGATGAGAATGGCAGCCCAACTTACTAGGGATTTGTCCCACCAAGAAATAGGCCTCAAAGGAATGAGGATAAGGCGAGGAACCAAGCAAGCCCTTCTGCTCAACCACCCAGGTACGTGGCAGACTAAAACTATGATTCAGACGAACCCCAGCAATCTTGTGATTTGGATGACGATGACGAGAACCTATCCTTCTCGCTGGAATTGAGGAATGCCGAGGTACCTAACAACTACGTGATGCCCAAAATACTGAAGTATGATGGGAGAGGCAACCCGACTAAACATTTGAACAGCTACAAGATACACATGAGCTCGAGAGGTGTCACCCCTCTTGTAAAATGCAGAGCTTTCCACTTAACTTTCAATTGAGTGGCTGAAATTTGGTATAGCAGGCTACCACCCGGGAGCATCAGGAGCTGGCTAGAGTTCAAGAACACCTTCTTGAAGAGATTTGTAGTGAGCAAGGAAGGAGAAACCCCCATTCAGGGCCTCCAAGACATGAGACAACAGCCCAAAGAATCTTTGAAGAGCTTTTTGTCTCGTTTTCCCAACTAAATGACATATTGTGTTCAAGTTACTAACCGTGAGGCCCTGTCCGCATTGCGATGAGCCTAAACATGAACACCCTGTTTTGGAGAGATGTTCAAAATCATAACCCGACTACTTATGATGCATTGGTAGAAATGATGAGGTGGGAGATTATCAACGAAGAGTTGATCGATCACAGAAATAGGGCCAGTAGAGGCCTCCAGCCTCAACAAAGGCAACGAAGGAGATGACCCACCTCCCATGTGATGGATTATCTATGGAACCAGACGGTCAACAAGATTGCCCCCCAGCTCAAGGCAGGTACTTACCACGGCTACCTTAAATGCGGTGCCCACGTTGGCCTACGAAAACGTTACACCCGAAACCAACACTCAACAAACTGAATCAGGACAACAGGCCCCCCATAGAGGACGAGGCCGAGGCCGAGGTTTGGGACCTACAGGTAGGCCAAACCCCCTCGAATACTGCACGTATCAAAGTCAAACTATCGCCGCTTTTTTAAAAAAAAAAAAACTTTTCTTCCCCAAAAATCCCCCCTTCTAGAAAATCCAGCACTCCATATTTTCTTCTCCATTTCTTCATGGACCTCTCATCCTCCAACAATCTTAGATGACAGCAAAGTTGACGCCGAATACATCGATGACTAGCACTTCAAGGCCGGGCAAATCGATGCCGGTAAGTTTTTTTTTTTGTTGAACCCTTAAGAAGTATGGAAATGGGTTTTTCTAAATTTTTTCTTTAATAGACATTAGAAGATGTTTCAACTTCATTTTAGTTCCTTTGATGGTTTTTTGTTTCTACCACAATCCTTTTGAAATCTATTTGTACACTTGTAGTGAGGTGAATATTTTCTAAAGCACATAGTGATAATTTATTTTGAAGATGAACTTCTATTAAAGTTCATATAATGTTCAAATAGTATTTGTATGCAAATTTTTCATTAATTAGACCCTCGGAGCATTGATCTAAAAACGAGCATTCAAATATGATGACATTGCTTTTGCTTCAGATTTCATGAAATGAAACTTTAACAATCATAGTAGAAAGATTTGAAGGTAGTCTTCTATCATAGAAAATGAAATTGTAATTTTCACGTCTCGTAGTACAAACTAAAAAAAAAAAGCAATGAACCATTTAAGTCTCGTAGGGTCTCGTAGTACAAACTAAAAAAAAAAATGCAATGAACCATTTAAGATTCAAGACAACTAGCAAAAATCTGAGTTCTACATGCTTGGAATCTAAGTGAAAACAAAGAATATTGGTCTAAACACTAAAACCATGACAAACCTCTCTATTCTCTAAGATCTACCAACATCTTCTAATGCTATTGTCCTACATTTCCTAATGAACTTACTAATTGCCTAAAACAAAATCAAGGTTAAGTTTTTAATCATTTGTTTGATGGACAAAATTAATTGAAGATGACCAACAACTGAAGCTATAAGTAGCGCAAGGTAGGATGAACGAGAAAATTGTTGAGAATGGATTGAAAGTGAAACAAATGGCACTTTCCCCGTGAGTAGCATGTCAAAAACGAGGAATTGAGATCACGCCTATGGGCGAAATCAATGAAGACCTTTTCCCTCATAGAGGTACTTCGATTTCGATAAATGTTCTTCTCACCTAGCTGAAACAAATGGCACTTTCCCCGTGAGTAGCATGTCAAAAATGAGGAATTGCGATCCCGCTTGTGGGCAAAATCAATGAAGACCTTTTCCCTTATGAAATATCCTTCAATGTAACTATCTGTAAGGAAAAAGGGAAATCAAAAGAGAAGGAGAAAAGAAGGGGAAGAGATCATTGAATTTGTATTCCTTCAATATAACTAGCCTATATAATCGATTAAGTGACTGATATTATGGTCAGCTTGATTGCACCTTGGAAAATTGGGTGGAAAGAGAATGAATTCAAAGGAAAATAACTGCCTAAAACTTGTTTTCGTGAGAAATGTCAATTAGTTGCGTTTGATTGGTATAATTTTTCACCTAAAAAATGTTGAAATTTTCCATCTTTTGGTGTTTGATTGCCTTTGTTTTCCATGAAAAATTATGATTTTTTCCATCGTTAGCTGTCTGATAGGCTTTGTTTTCCATGAAATTTTTTTTCCAACTATTGGTGTTTGATAGTCATTTATAATTTCCAAGAAAACATGAATAAAAGATAATACAAAACAATGGTTTAACATTGAATAGTGTAAAGAAAAATTCTTCAGCGTTAAATGATAGAATTTGGTCGAAAAAGGTCGTACGTAAGGGACAAAATGATAGATTTACTAGCACCAGCACCTATCTGTCTATGCTGATTTCTCGAGACTCTACTTTCAGCAATGGAAAGAAATGGGAGCTTCTCAAAGTGCACCTAAGAACAAATCTTGATTTGAGCTTGTCATTGTGGTTTAAATAATCAACTGTCCTAGGCAAATTGCACAATCAACT